TACGCGATAAACTCCGCAAAAGCTATCTTTTGTACTGCAATCTGGTTCGTCTCTGTGAGAACATGTGTGTAGCTGAATAAATGAGGGCTGATATGCTTGACGCGGTCTGCCTTGATGAAACCAAAAGATACTTGCTCAATACAAGCTGCGTTATCTTCAAAAATTATTGTTGGCTTTTCCTAGAGTGGAAATCCAGCCATTTCGGATATGACGGTTTGCATGGTGCGAAGCCACACTGCCTCGTGGGCTGCCTCATGAAAGGCAAGGAGCTCATAATGATTCGTTGAAGTTGCAGCATCTGTTTGTTTTGTGAATCTCCAACAAATGGGTGCTTCATATTATATGAATATGTAGCATGTTTGGGACTTTCTAATGGCTGGATTTTTCTTGAAGCCATAGTCGGCATAGCCTATGATATTGTTTTGGCCGCGGTGAAAATAAAGATCAAAATATTTTGTTCCTTGAATGTACTTGAGGATGTGCTTAACGTCTTGCCAGTGCCGTGTTGTGGGGCATTGGCTGTGCCGTACAAGGACATTGACGGCAAAATTAATGCCTGGCGAGTATTTGTCGCCAAGTAGAGGAGTGCACCAACTGCTGCTAGATACTTTGATGTATTCAACTCCTCCTTCCCGGGCTCAGCAGTACAATATGGATCATCGTCAGTCTTGCTTCTCCCCATCATAGGTGCTGAAAGTGCATTCACTTTTTCCATGTTGAACATGTTGAAAAGCTTGCGAGCATAAGTTTGCTGATGAAAAAGCATACTTTCATCTGTAAGGTGTTTAATTTGGAGTCCAAGGCAATATGATGTTTTACCTAAAGTTTCATCTCAAACTGTTTAGTTAGTATGAGTTCAACACGCTTGCTCAATGCTCATGTTTTGAAGGAGTTCAAATCATCGACATAAGCCGCTAGAATCACATATTTGCTTATCTTTCTTCAAAACGAAGATGCAAGGGAGAACAAGATGAGTTTGGAAGCCATCAAAAATCAAGTAGGACTTCAAATGATGATACCACACACTTTTGGATAATTTTAGGCCATAGATTTTCCTACGGATTTGTAGTCCGTGAATGTCCTGGTTGGATTGGTGGGAGGCTTGACAAAAACTCTAGTGGAGGTTAAATATGCAGATCTACGTCCAAGTCACGGTAGAGATAGGTAGTGACAACATCTAGGAGGCGTTTTTTAAGCAAAAATTGTATTGCTAGAATTTAGAAACAGCGGCATGAGGTACTATCAATAACATGGAATATGTTCGTTCAAAATCAATTACCTTTTTGAGTATGTTCTTGTGCTAGTAAACGTACCTTGTAACTAACTACGTTTTTGTGTTCATCACGTTTTCTAGTGAATATAAGTTTGTGATCTATGGATTTGACTGTGGGATGTGTTACAAGCAGCCCAAATACGCTTGCAAGAGAATTGGTACTTGCCATGTAACGTTATTTTCCATTGTGACCAATCTGATCTCTTCCTAGCTTGATCTAAAGTAGTAGCGTCGGAATCAGATTTAGTAAGATTGATTACAAGTGACTCGGGATCAGATTAGGGATTTGATGGTTACTTGGGTTGTTCAACTATGAGTGATGCTCGTGTATTAGTCTTACGTTTATTGCATATTGAAGCGAGGATGAGATTTCTTCATCTAGGTAGTGGGTTGTGGAGTATCCTAGTTCCAGACTAAAATTATTCTTGAAACTTTTTGGCTAGGTTTTGCAGGTCTACAAGTTTTCTAACCTTGGTATCTGTGAGTGTTGTTTGTGGATCTAGATTTAAGTTGAGAGTCTTTTGGGCTTTAAAGTTAAACTCTATATGGAACGAGTTTCAATGAATTTGCAATTCTGAAATCTAGCTTTGTAAACATCATCTCTATCGAATAACTTGTATCGAATAATACTCGAGGAGTCAAACCCAAGATAAATACCTTTGTATCTATGGGGTTCCATGGTTTTTATCTTCGGGTCCAAAAGAGATACTCAAACCTCGCAACCAAAGGTGCGGAGTTGTGCTATATGTGGAACTCGGTCGAATGCTAATTCTAGCGAAGTTTGAGTATGGAGTAAGATTGGTCTAAAACGTAAAAGAACAGTAGCGTGAAGTACAGCATGATTACAGTAAGAGAGTGGGAGGTTAGCATGAAAAAGGAGTGATCGGACTATGAGCTAAATTTTCTTGATAACGCCTTCGGCTAGACCATTCTGTCTATGCTTGTAAGAAGTGAAATAAGTAAGTTCTATTCCTGTCACTGCGCAATAGTCATGAAATGTCTGAGATTTAAATTTGAGGACTTAATCCATTCTAAGGAATGGGACAAGGTGGTCGGAATAATGGTTTTTAAATTTCAATAGCATTGCTAGGGTCTTGAAAAACACCATGTTTCTAGTGATGAGAAGAGAAATCTCAGCATGACGTCTGGATGCATCAACAAGGACAAAAAAATATTTGAACTGATCTGATGTTGGAATGATCAGGCTGCACGAATCACCTTGAAGATGTTGCAATGGCGCGAGAATCCCCTCAGGTAGTTTCAAGGTCAAAGTTTGTTTGATCAATTTCCCTGTAATGCATGATGAGCATTTCCGAACATGCTATGAGTCGCTAGTGCACATCTCGTGACTTGTCAGCATTGATATCATCCTCCTCATCATAGTGATTCTCGGATGCTTCAGTCGGCTATGTCACAAATCTGCTCTAGCGTTTGCCGGGGGCATCTTTACATGATAAGCTTGATTGCGTAGCGCAAGCAATCACCTCTTATATACTCGGTTGAATAGGGCTAGCTTCCAAAATGGGTCGCGCATAGTCAAGTTGACTCTTCCTTGCATCCATATGGATGAGATTAAATCACGAGATTAGAATATCATATAGGTCAGTAACTCTCGCCTTAGCAGTGGTGAGGATTGTTGTTCCACGCGTGAGTTGCACTACCTCTTCATCACAATCCACCGGTAGCTAATAAGACTCTAGGGGCACCAAGGGCGTACATTGTCTGTTCGTAGGTGATGAGGTTTTCCTGGGCAAGACTATTTTTGACCGACCCTCACAGAATACCAAATTTTGCATTCCCACGATTGTGAATATGTCACAAGATTGCCAGGGCTTGTTTTGAATTTGGATTTCAAATAAGCCTGATCTTAGAATACTGAAACGGTGAACGCATTGTGAACAATTACCCCTGATCTCTGGAGACCGCGGTGACTGAGATTGGAATCGTGACCGAGACTGAGATTGAGAGAATCTGTTGTCATACCGCTAATGCTTGTTGGGTGTGTAATGCCTTCAATTTCCTCTTGGCGTGCGTTTTGGTGCATCTAAAACATGAGAATCATGATTTGTGCCTCCGGATTTTGAAGTTGAACTGGTCTTTGTGTGCTTCGATCCCTTTGTATTGTGGATTTTTTTTGCAGATCAAGTCTCGACCCTCTACAGTAAAAGTTGTTGTTGTTTTTTAGTGATCATTAGTAAGGCATTAGAACATCATGTTTTGTGAAAGTCATGTTTCGATATTGCTGCGAGAAGATGACACATTCGTGAGGAAAAGTTGAAAGGGTCTTATCTATCATATCGGCATCGGTGATGCTCTGGCCACATATGCCAAACTTGACAACGTTACAGTGCGATTTTGAATCATAACTATGAAAAATTGGAAAGTGAAGGACTCGGAGGCTCAACCAATCACTCCAGACTTATGGTAGGATTATCGTTTCTTCATACTGGAATCGTGATTCAAACGCGGCCCATAGTATTTGTAGGGTCTTCCTCATGTATCAACTGCATCCGTAATGACAAGTCGAGGTGGCAACAAAGTACCAACAAAGTTTGCCATTTGTGCGCCGATTCAATCCCCTTTTCCAAGTTGGGTTCAACGTGTAAATAAGTTCTTGGCCGGAGAGATACGTTCGAATGTTTAAGTGCCAAGCTAAAAATTTTTTCCTATCAGGTGCTAAAGTATCAAAATAGAGCGGGATGATCCTATGGTCCTTGGATTTTGCTTCTGTCATCATAGCTAATCTATCTATCTTCTCCGTGCGCAAGGAGACTTCTCTCTACACAAGTACTAGAGAGTCACAAAAGGTATGAGCGAAAATGTTGATAACCTGCTGTGAAAAGAAGAAAGAAAGAGCGAACGAAGATATCAAGATAATGAAAAGATTGTCTAGGAGTGTGTTTCAACCAAATGTTTATATGAGAGTATTATGAACTTTTACGTTATCTAACGTAGCCTAGAGTAAACTTTATGGATGGATAGAGACACACTTTCATCTTGACATCTGCAATATGAGGACCTGCTTTGGACTATTGTGCAATGTACCAATCCGAACATATACCAGACGACTTGCTCTGGACTCTGTGCAATGTACCAGTCCGAGCATATACCAGCAACGCTCATGTATCAGAGTTAGTACCATCCAACTCTACAAACTGCAAACTTCCCATCTTGTTTCAACAAATTGCACTTTGATGTCACCTCCCCGTTGGCTAAGCCACCCCTATTAATCTAGGCGTCGAAACTCAACTTAATTTATTTAATTCATTTGCCGTCAACTACACATGCCTGGCAATAAATATTCATTGCCAAAGATGACAAAGCTCACTACTCTTGACTACAGTTTGGTTTTCGGTTGACTGGAGTCGTAACTTGCTTTCGATATTAGCGATTATTACTTTGCAGCTAAAGGCACCAAAAGTATCTCATCGGAGACGTGTTTTCACCGTATTTTCGTTTGTGGATACGGTAGAACTCATCCGAGGTTAAAGTAACAACAGATTAACAATGCATCATAGTGCTTTCACCATCTCCTGAGTGAAATCTCATTCAAAAGATCGAGTATATATGAGATTGCATCGGTGGTGATGATAAAGATATATTGACATATTATCTGGAAGCCTAATCTAAACCCTGAAAGCCGGGAAAACTACAAACTCAGTTCGTGAGTGTGGTAACGAGACAACTGTTGGGTTAGAGAAAACAATTTCTAGTGCTTGTTTGCTCATATAGAAACTACAGTACATAAGGGGATAGCCATGATATCCTTGCTTTCTTTCCAAATTCAGAATTTCAAGACAGAAACATTCTTCTTAACATCCAGACTAATCATTTTGGCACCTCCATCAATATTATCTACTATGCCTGGTGAAGTGTAAACAATGTAACTCTTGATCACTTCCAAGTTTTACTAACTAGTATGTACAACCTAGTCGAGAACTATACACTCGGAATGGAATCTCTTCGTGGGATATGGGAAAAACTGGGTCAGACACGGCTGTCTCATGGCAAAAGCCAAGACAGAAGCTCCCTTCGTACCTATGAACGAACAGTTGGCCGGAGAAAAACTTGGTTTGTCCGCAATCCAGAACTGTATGAATGCCATCAGTGACTTCATTCCTCGAGTAATCTCATCCTATCTAGAAGACACCTTTCCATCCCTCGCAATCTCATGCAATCTTTGAATGGCATCCGTCCGGAATTGCACAATCTCCTCGCTGGTAGTGTTCGAAACGCCTTGCCTTCATTCAGATGGAGCATGCATATATAGGAGGCAACAGTCCTTCAAGTGAGAAGTTACAGGTCAGCTCAGGCTCAGCAGCTTGGGAAAGGTGGAGATGTTACTCGAGTACATCTGTTCATCATTCACCTACTTCTTGTCTTTGAAGGTCAATTCTTCTGCTTGATCAGGAACAACTAAACTAGTGTGTCGAAATATCCGTTTCAAAAGCTCTGCATCTACATTGAATTTTTTGGCTATGCTCTCTTCATTCATGCCTTGTTCTTGGTATAGAATGAAAATCTCCCGAATTTGCTTCAAATTCAGACTGCCAGCTGCGATAACAGTATCCTCGTCAGGGCCTGACAGCAATGTTGTATGCCGATCCATCGGCATAGGTCTAGTGAGTTCTTCGGTAACAACAGCCTGCACAGCGAGATAATTTAGAATTAATGCGCAGAACGCGTGACCCCAAATTTGAAATTCAATGGATTCCAACAGGATTATGGGACTGACGAAAAACACAAGTAGCAGCCAAGATACAGCACTCACACAAAACTGGAAGTGCGGGCGCAATGAAGGTCGTCTAACTTAGTGATGAAATACCATAACCTAACCTAGACCACTCACTCCTGTGAAGAGAATCCCAAATCTGAAGTGACTACCAAACGAGTGAGAGTAATTCCCATTACAGGAGATGAAACGGACAGTCAAAAGAGTGGTGGCCTCTCGAGTCAGCCGTATCTAGTGTACAGAGTTTGCTACGTCTGCTGTCTCCTTCAACGATGGAAAGTTTCTTACTTCTGTCTGCAGATAGTGGTGGACAGTGCGAAATCTGCGTGTGGAGGTCGTGGAATAAAGGGATACATATGTACTTCGGATTAAATAGCCGGATCAACTATGGAAAGGTATTTATCTATTCGTCCAGTATCCAGTCCATACACCCATAACCAGCTTGACGCTCTTTGATCAAATTCCTAATGCACTACACTAGATGCAATCAGCCATTTCACTTTTCCTTTGCATGAATCTCGAATGGAAATATATTTGACCGCAATCGCAGCCAAGACACTGAACGCAAAAGCTGTAGGTTATGAAAGCCTCACATTTCCCATTTCCTGTTTCCCACCGGGCCTCGTGGTTATAATTCCCACCACTTGCTGAGACATAGCTTCAAACTTCGGATCCCTACGTTCCCAGTCTCCCGAGTTCTGCTCTGGCTCAACAATGACCTCTGCAGCTCAACAGAATTCGACGACGTAACACTTTCAAACATTAGGCTCTCCCTCCCAAGGTCCACTGCATTCTACTTGGCAAAAAGCCCAGCATCAGCCATTAATTTTGAAGGAAAAATAACTCCCTGACCCAATTCCAACGGGGAGCCATATCTATAAGGTGTTCGATCGTGTATACAGTGAATGTATACACGATCGAACATGTATACATGTATACATGTATACATTTCAGTGAAACCGTGGTCAAGGTCGCTAGTCCCATACAGAATTCCATCTACATTTCCAGTAGCGAAGCACAGAAATGGGGGCAGCAGGGAGAACATTATCTGCCCACTTGGAGCAACAACAAAAAGACATGAATTGGGATTTCCATCTCAACGGGAAAAGGATGAAAGCATGACATATTTTCTACCCAATGATAATGGTAATTGAACTGCTTACGCGGCTCTGGAGGCGTAGTTTTGACATCGGCAGACTGCCGCTTCACTTGACCTTCGGGCTTAGCAGACGAAAATGCCGAGACAAATTTCGGCAAGCGAAGCCTTCGAACCACCGGCAACATTTTGCTCGATCCGAAGGTCTCTTCACTGACCTTTCGATTCGGCTAAGTCTTCTCTGGAACTGCCCGAAATTTCACGGTCTCAGAACATTCTGGTTACCACAAAATCAAAGATCTAATCCTTCCCATTTCGTTTCGCCTCCTGTCCCCTCTGTTTAGTCGCATTCAGAAAACCCGTCAAATTATTGCTGCCGTTCTGCTCTGATCCCTCGATCTACAACTCAACATCGAACTGAATCGAAACATTTGTTTCCATCCAACTGAGCCCTTCGCACCTTCAAAACAAAACGGCGAAATTCTCCAGCCAAGCTTCAAATTCCGTTGCACGCTGTCCGCAATGCCGACCTTGAACCACCCTCGGGGAGCCTCCCAGAGAGATGAGATGAGACGATCTTCGGCGTGATGGTAATGGGTAGCTGGTTTCGATCCTCCAGCGCGTTAGGAGCACGGGCTTCTTCTAAACCCTAGGCCCCCGTCCACGATCCACGATCCAGGTGTATGATCCGGGCAGCGGACACGTGTGCGTCTGAAGACCATCCTCCTCTCGTTCCTCACTGAATGTTCACTTTCCGTGTGCCGAGCACGCGTTCCGACACTGTACCATCTGCATTCTGGGACCTGGAAGACTGCCTCTCTGTGCCTTACCTCCCCTGCACTTCTCGACGGTTGCCATGAATCTGAACGAGGGATGATTCATGTTAGACGCGATTCTTGCGCCGCAGTAAATTTCCCTTCCGTTCCAGTGGAGGAAGAAGGAAGGTCTGGGGATTCGGAAAAGAGCATGGTGGTCGTCAGTAGCTCTGTGGACGCAATTGCATCGTTTAGATCTAGCACTTGAGGCGAGCTCTCGATGGTTGCTTCAGCCGGAGTCCCTGCGACGGCCACTCGGAGTGAAATCACAGAAATGATCTTCGATGGGGTTCATCGACTGGGTGGTGGGTTGAGAGTAAAGAGGTAATCCGACTATAATCCTTACTAAGGATTATAATCACTAAGGATTCCTTAGTGATTATGGTCGGTAGACTGGCCGGCTTGCTGGAGCGCGAGTGAGTCGAGGGCTTCACGACGGCCCAAGATGAGTGTTAATTTGCGCAGCTTTTCATATGGAACTGCGGTGTCAACCTTTGAATTTTGTACGTCTCGGATCACCGGGGCACTTGATGCATGTCATACGGCAGCCTCAGGCGCTTTTCTTGTTTCTTATTGTGATCCTTGTACACCCGCAGAATTTGCAGGTTGCGCGGTGATCTCCTTTGTCTAATTAGTACTAACCTCCACACGGCGATCTTATGCGTGTTTCTCCTGGAGAAACCATGTGGTCGAGGAATCCTCTTCCGTCTCATCAATGAGGAACGTAATTGCTCCGAGAATCCTCAAGCCAGTTATCTTGAGGCGCATTTTCCATGACGCGAGGAATAGCTCTCGACGATCAACTCAGGCTCTTCGTTTTTCAGTTCTGATGGTTAAATTTGAGTCAATGCACAGCTTTTGGGTATGATGGACATGAAGTTAGAATTTAATACATGTGAAGCTAGTAATATACAAAGTCTACTTTCCTACTATTTCGATGCGTCGAAGCTCACAACTGTGGTATTGGTCTCCAACTAATCCGGAGCATAATCAGCAGAGTGTAGAAACATCACAGTGCACGATTCCGCCGACATGCTTCATGACTCACGGACATTTCAATCATTTTCTTTCATTGTACGAAAGATGCCGCCAATCACGAGCTGGACTGTCTTCCAGTTAGCAAGTCAACTTGCTCCCGTCGTGCTTAAATCTCTGTCAGTGAACCTCTCGTCTTCCTCATAATTCTTCCTCCGACACATCAACTCCTTGTGCTGCCCTAAAGAATCACGCAATTTCACCTCATTGCCGCCCAGGAAATATCTAGCCCGAATGTTTGGCCCCCGCACCAATGGGAGATCAAGGCGACAATTGAAACTGAGGTCGAGTACCGATTAAGAAACAAAAACGAATGGAAATTATAACAAGCATTCGAACAGAATCCGACACCTGGGCGAAAGCCATCAGAAATTACGCAGCACTCACTCCCAACGCCACCGTCGAGAGCCGAGGGAACCTGATCCCCCACGGACCGGAAATTCGGCAAAATTGCAGCCCTGCGTCCGATCTTCGAAGGTTTCGGCAGGACAGTGGCCCCTCATGCCACACATGCACAAGGGCTCGTCGCTCTGTCCGCATCGTGACGGGACGATTCCAAGTCACGGCGGGGAGGGAGGGACGACGTCGCGACAGAAAGGCCAAAAAGAGCCGCGGCCAGCCTCCGTAATTCCCTCCCATTCCATCACTCAAGCCAAATTTCCAACCAACCCCGACGCGTCGCAACTACAATCATCCGCCGACCAACCTCGTTCATCAAAATCGCAGTTCGTGCTCCCGTCGCCTCCCTCACCACGTTCGCCCTCGACTGCATCCCTTCGGCCTGCGCTTCGATTTCAAACGCGACCTCCACGAGCACGGGCGGGAACGGACGAATGTTTGGACGCTGGGGGATCGCGTGGGAGTCGGAGCCTGCGGCAAAGCAACGAGCAAGATCGTCGTCGTTGCGAGCAGGCAGGGGATCGATTCTGAAGTCCAGATTCTGACACAGGTCCCAGAATCACCGTCACTGCTAACTTCGGACGACGCGCGGTCAACAACCTGGAAATGTGGCCTCCTTTTGGACATTCCCCCAGATCCGGCACGAGCCTTTCTGTTGCTGTTTGATGCACGTATTAAAATTCTCCGACATACTCGTGAGCTGGACATGTGCCGCAGATGTGACCCGAGCGAGGGGTCCAGGACTGACTCGAGGCGCATCGCGCATCGTTGTGACGCGTTTGTGTGACCGTGGGTGGTTTCTTTAGCCGCTCGCCGATTTTTGTTTTTGGGTTCCTCTTGGGTTCCTCCTTGGCCGGGACCTCGTTACTTGATTCCTGAAATCCGCCTTCACCATCGGTTTAGGGTCTGGATTCGACTCGTTCCAGCGACCGGGTGGTCGGGAATGTGAGGAACTCTAGATCTGCTTCATCCCCGGGCGGAGAACAAAGCGATTTATCGGCTTGCTCGTCGATAGGGAGCCTCTAGTTTTACTGGACGTGATCCAGAGTGCTTTCGGAGGAACACAGAGGTTTTCGCCCGAGGAATTTGTTTTCTTCGGTTCGACAGAGGCCGCAATTTCGAAGACACTGGGGCGCATGTACGTCAGTGTTGTTGTTCTGCACTCTGCACTCAAGCGAATATAATTCTTCGGGCGAATCAAACACCTCCTGGTCGAATTTCTGTTCGATCTCGGCTGCAGAGGTTTTAGGGGTTTAAGCTCTCGGTGAAGATGAGCGTACGTTGGTGTCCCGAATCGCCGGATTTTGTGTGAGAAGCGCTCTCTGACCTCCTGCCTCGATCAAGATCAGGGAAATGCTCACACGGGGACCTCTGGCTGTATCATCCGAAGGCGGCGGGCTTCGAAAGTTCGAAAATGGGACAGTGGTGGATCTATGTTCACTCAAGGAACTAACCGGAACAAGAAGAGTAAGAGGTGGAGTGCGTGAAAATTGGCTTTCGCACAACGCTCTCAGCTCCTGGAGTCTCCAAGATCTCTCCGACGGCTTGAAATTCCTCGTCAAATGGAATCGTTGCACTGTTCAAGAGCGAGTTTGTGAATCCCACGAGGCCAAAAGTCTAGCGAATGCCACAGCCTGGACTAGCCCGTCCTCAGCTTGCGGTGAAGAGCTGTCGACCCCAATTCTGGATCTGTCAGTGAACAGTCCGCTCGACCTAGGGTATGAAGGCAAAGCCCGCAAGGATTACCATCCTAGTCTATGCGTTTACCCGATTTTAGTAAACATGTTCGGTTCACTAACTGTAACTTTTGGCACGGACACCGCTTTTCAGAGAAGAATGAATGCCGAGAGCTTCCACCTCATGGAGAAAATCATTCAGGGTGAACAACTCCGTTGGAGTAATTTAGTGAACGATGTTCTCCTTCGAGATCTCAAACGGAACCAGCAGTTGGACGTTGTTCCAAAAGAGTGTGCGACACCCAAGAACCCCTTGCTTGGCGACTGGACCTTTCAGGCCAATGCCAGGAGAGAGCCAGAAGATTCAAAGCCGGCAGAAGTGCCAGACTACAACGGTGGCCCGGTTACCAATGGGCCCGCTGTGGTTACAGGCTCGCCCAGTCCATCCGACGAGGGCATAGACAGGGACGTTTCCACTGCGCTTCTGCGTCCAGCACCCAAAAGGTACTCGAGGTCTGGAGATTCAATCCCCAGTGATCCTCACGAATGTGGCGAGGAGCTGGACACCGGTATGATCAGGCCGTATGGATTTCGTACTCAGCTCTCCGGAATAGCGCACGAGCTTCTACAACTGAGATTGCACATAAACAAGGAGCAGGAACGTTTCAGGCAGCAGGAACAAATTTCCATGAAGAAAAAGACGCAACGCGAAAAGGCTTCGATGGGGAAATCTAGACCCAAGGACCGAACAAAGAGAGGAGAATCGATGAGGTCGGAAGTAGAGTTGAGGAGGCAGGCTCCTTCCAAGGATCATGCGATCCGCCTCGTGGATGATCTGAAAGAGAAAGTGAGTTGCCTTCTGAAGCAACGGAGGGAACTACGGGAGCAAGATCGAATCCTGAGATTGCAGCTGGACGAAATGAGGGCCAGATGGAAAGAGTCTGTTCTACAGGTTGAGCAGGCCAGGACCGAGAAAGCTAACATCTTGACAAAGATAGATTCCATCATGAGCTGATTTCCGGCTAACGGATTCTCTAGGTCACGCACAGGACGAATTTCTTGCCACTAATCAGATGTCATTTGTGTATAAAGTGTTGTTTGCTCTGTTGTAGGACTTCTCGTCCTTCAAACTGACTCTCAGCTTCGTTCAGAGATCAGTGGTGCCACATCGCCCGTCTCTCAATGCCCACTTTGTGCCCCACCGTGTGTGACTCGGGACTGCCTACTCTCATTCTTTCCCTCACTTCGAGTTGCATGATTTGGAATAGGTTTCACTTCTGAGCAAAACTATGAGCGATAGTTATCAGAAAAATATCTAGATTCAGCTCGATAGGCTTGAGTGCACTCTCTAATCTCATGAACCATATGTTTGCGTCTCTTCCTTTTCTGTTCAGTGGCCTCCAATTGGTCACTGCAGCTAGGCCATATGTCCACGTCTGTTGCAATCCAGGCAGGGACTTTCTTCGAATATGAAGCCCGATACGACATTCCTTGACTGCCTTCTCACGACCATGGTAAGCGCCCTCTGGAAGCTCATCACCGCTAGAGATTGAATGCATTCCGACGCTCGAATATCAGGAACATCAACTTAGATTGCTTGCAATTGCACACCGAGGTTGGTGAAAGCAAGGTGTTGAACATACACGCAAACAGCAGAATGAGGATGAGCTAAGACTGTTCGTATTTGTTGATAGTATATCAGCTGTCTTTCATAGTGCATGTGCCCCAGCTAACCTTTGCTAATTTCTATTCACTCCGCTTCAGTGGAGAAACTCACAGTGGGAAGAGTGTAATCTTATGGTGTTGCTCCTATGCTATTCAGCAAGATTCTAGATTCACTTTATGTAATCTGACATAGCCCTTGCATCTTTTCAGTGATGGTGTCTAACCACGATCTGTCATCGAACAGATATCATCGACTCAAAACTTCATTTCAACATGAACTCCAAACCAGAAAACACAATTTTAACGTGGATTGTTAGTATTATTTATTGCGCCACGTGATCGATCGGTACGACGCTTTGGGGCTAAGTGAACTGTGGATATCAATTTGACATGTGCAAGAAGGAATGTGTGAAGGCCTACCAGAATAGGTGCCATAGATACCACTCTTTGTCGTGAATTGTACATTCATGTCAATATGTCTCTATTGTGGGATAGAGAACATCAATTCATGCATCTGTAATAAAGAAATCACCGGAAGTGATATTCCTTTGGATACGTAACGTAAAGCTTTTTTACGTCTTGCTTGATGCTTTTGGTTCTAGCCTCAATGTTATCCGTTTGGTTTCCTTGTACTACATGAGGGTTATTACAAAGGGGTTTTGTTGATTAACTGTGTACTCACTTTGCATTGGTAGTACCTCCATCGTTATTATCACTTACGAACGAGAGAGGCTAGACAGACCAACTTTTTGAACCAGACGTAGAATGCACTTCAAAAATTTAAAACGATGCGTGCTGAAAAATTTCGCAAGTATGATCTCTGGCAAATAAGCATGTCATTGTAGATTAAAATTTACCTCGGATATCGACCGTCTCTGTACATATATAGACCTGTAGTTTTTGAAAATATGCAACTAGGTTCTCCTTATGAGTGAAAGGTACAAAACTAGAGAGAACGAAATGTTCTCTTCGATAGTTAACCATATGCAACCCAAAGGATTTATATGACCACTCAAAAACATAACAAATAAGGAAATACAAATCATTGAGGACATCTATCCACAAACTTCAAGTACAATTTCATTCTGGAACCAATGACCGATTACATACATAAATTTACATTCAAATATCATGCATATATGAAATGATTCTAATAATCATCATTTCATGGATTTTCTTTTACTTAGAACTTCAAAGTGAATTTGTTTTGCTTGAAATGTCTAGTTTATGTAAATGTTTATGAAGATAGTGCACTCGGAAATGTTTACATGGGAGAAAATATCACTGCAAATTTTTCACAAAATTCACAGCATGAATATTATTATATTTTGAATGAAATTTGCATGTTTCATGTATGATACATGCTATTTTATGTATGTTCAAACAAACGTGAATACAAATTATCACTCAAGTCAAAGTTATGCTTTCTTATATATAATATTAATCTTCTAAAGTTTTTTATTGAATTCATATCCAACAATACAGCAGTTCATTGATAAATTAATATTATTATAGAATTTTATCATGTTGAAATATGTTTGCCAAATGTGTTTCTAATTGTCTTTGACAAAAATGTATAGCCTGAAATCATAAAAGAAAGTGTATGTGTGTATTAAATTTGTTAAGATATCTTAAGATAACGGCTAATTATCACTCTCTGATTGGTTATAGAGTTTTCGAGTTGAGTAGCAACTACTTCTGAAATAGGTGTTGGACCAATTAGAAAAGAACTTGTAGCAAGGTGAGGGCTGATTAACCCTAAGTGAGTTATAACTAGCCCCCTCCCTATGTTAACTCTAATATATTATAATTCATCTACTGATTGAAAAAATCTAGATTTAAGGAGTAAGGATTGAACATCTTTCTGACCTGAGTACATCCAAGTCTAATTTGATATATGATATAATAAAAGTGTTGCAATGGTGAACTAGAAAGATATTGCATCTTGTTCACCAAATTCAGACCAAAAAGCTCAATCGTTATTATGTGAAAATGTAACTACTTCAAGCAGAAGGTTTACTAGGTGGATTCTATCCGTGTCCATATAAGGATGGGGGCTTCAAGAAACCAATATAAAAAATGTAATGTTGTGTATTTGGCAATAAGAAGATGTGAATAACATTTCTTGGACTTCAGACCTCTTGTAACAACTTCACCGATCAACTAATAATTGAAACGCAAGTATGAGAATAGAACACATTGATCCAGACTAGGGACTTTAATTACCCATTGGATTATTCATTGGTGCTATTTTCTAGCAGTAAGCTAAACATTACTAGTTTAAAACTATTATCTTTGAATTAACATTCCCTAATCTCTTTGCATGAGTTAATCATACTATACTTCTAATTAAAATATTCGATTCGATGATTCAATCAAGTCGTACACGGATGAAACGAATGGTAAGGACGAATCTATCCCCGACGGCAAATATGTTAGAGGAAAGTGAGCCAAGTATATCTGCACAGATTATAATATTGTATGCTTGATATCTATCAATTCTTATGAGATTAATAAAATTATATAAATTGATTGACGCCCGGTGGGAGTTGGCAGCACCAAAGCTCCCGTCGGGAGCCCCACGTGAGCTGGGAACCTCCACGCTAACCCTTTCTTCCCTCGTGGCGTCTGGGATCTTTCACAGGCACCTGCAATTTGCTCGTTGCTCCTCTGTTTCGATCCCTCCACAGGCAGAACTTCCCGATTCAACAGAATTTGCATCACATCATCGTTGCAAAAATTTCTCCAACAGCGTCCTCATTCCGAAGGTGCATTTCCTTCTCGATTCTCGATCCGCCTCCCCTTTCGCCTGGTTTTCAGGCGTTGTCCGACACTGGCAGTCTTACTCTTCGACGAGATTATAATTTTTTACTGGGACATTTTCTCTTCAGCTGTCAATTCGATTTCGGTATTGTTGAAATTTTCCTTTTGTTTGTGATCAGTCTTTCCTGCGTAGGGTCTAGCGATATATTTTTCGGTGGAGGAAGATGAGCACAAGAGGAATGAGACGTGCAGGACAGCAATAGTGGAAACAGTTTTCAAAGGAAGGACGAGGCAAGAGAAAAGAGAGGGTCTGTTTAGGGCGAGAAGATGGCGGCTGCTTCGAGGAGTGGTGGAGTGGTGCAAGAAGTGGCGAAATTGAGTGTGGAGCAGCTGCAGGCGGTCAAGGAACAGATTGATGCAGAATTGTCTGTTTTGCAAGACAGTGTGGGCAGCATTCGCACAGCCGCCAATCGCTTTGAAATGGCTGCATCTGCTCTGAACAACTTATCATTGCAGAAAGAAGGTGATTCTCATGATGCCCCTGTCCGTGAGCACCACTTGTTCCCAACACCAATGACCAGAAACCGTCATCTGTTTTTATGTTCATTCAGAAGCATTCAATGGATCATCGCTCTTTGTGCAAAGTGCGCAGATTTTAAGTTTGACTGAATTTCAATCAGTCGTTTTTATGACTCACCATGAAGATTTGACGATGAAGGTTTCGGGAGTTCTGCAGGAGAGTTAAACTTTGTCTTCCTCGCTTACTTTTTCTGTGTGTCGCGAGCATCTCCATTTCATACTTATGGAAATATGTGAGTGTACTTTCGGATGTTTGGCAATGAAATGGTTGACATTGAGCTCTTTTGGGAAATGTCAGGTCAACAAATGTTGGTACCTTTAACAGCCTCCCTGTACGTACCTGGTGTTTTGGAGAACGTCGACAATGTCCTTGTGGATGTCGGCACTGGTTACTTCATCGAGGTGAGCTTGTTTTCATAGTTTCAGACCCTCAGGTGGGGTGGGGTGGATGGGCTTCCCTCTGGCAAACCCACCCACCCCATGAATATTCATGGTTGATTTTCTGTGAATATTCAAAATTTTATTTTTTTTCGATTTAACCTACACTACCTACACTTTTCGCGGGATATCTGCATAATTAACCTACATTAACCTACACTTTCCGCGTGCCTTAGGTCGCGTTCAAACCATTTGCTCGCTTTGTGTGCGTAAGCGATATCAGTTTTGTTTGGTGCGGAGAACTAAGCACGTGTAATCCTGAATTTGTGCAGAAATCTTTGCCCGAGGGGAAAGATTACTGCGATCGGAAGATCAACTTTTTGAAAGCCAATCACGACAAATTGGTTGAGGTGTGTATGATTCTAACTTCAGACGTGTACTTGCTTGAATCTCATCTCTCAGGTTTCTGGCGGTGTCCTACTTGTGTCTACTTGTGAAACTAGATCTTGTGCTTCGAAACTATTATTCGCGGGATAAGTGGTACTTTGAGAATATGTCTTCAAAGGAGTATGGGAAACTTATAGAACGGTCTTCACGTTCTGGCTGGCTTCTTACTGCTTAGCTTAACAATAACTGCTGTAATTGTCTTGTGTTCTGAGCATTCCTCACTGAGTTTAAACTCCAATGCTTAACTGGTCAATTGAAGATGTCGATAGGTTTGATATAGTAGAGATGGAAGTATCCTGGCATTTAACATCATCGACTTTATACAAGCTTCTAATTATCTAAGGACTTTCGAGGACTATGATCCTGACTCAGGAATAAAGCAGATAATATCTCTCAGAATAGATCTTGTTTAACATCTTGTTTAGAGGTTGAGTGCATTGCTTGTAACATAAGAGAACTAACTTAAAAAATTAATGAGAAAACCACAAATTATTCTACAAACATGAAGAAGACAAGTACATCCAGTGAGTCGAGTGTAGGATTACTGCTGTGAATTAGTTCAGTCTGATCGGTTTCCCTAACGAACTTTAATTAACTGGCCGGCAAAGGATACGTTTACAAGGAATGTTTCTTTCTGGGCTAGTCAGTACTCTTTGCATATTTTTTCCAGCAAAATGTTTGCCTCCTTGACTGAGAGAATCTCCCGTGGCCGTGGCTACTTGTTGTTTTCTGGCGAGTTGAATAGATTTCTGGGTGAGCCTTACCTGTGTACGTTTGTGAACACTGAATATTTCTTCTCCTGGCACTTCTTGCCCACTGCTCACAGGAAGATATGGCAGTTCCATCTTCAGATTTTCTTCCTTTCAAGTCCATGACTGTTTCACACTATCTGCAAAGTTACATATATTGCGAGGGAAAATAAGCTAGATAATCCAAGCTTGTCTTTCCGCTTTACATTTATATTCTGCGTACAGGGGGTTAAGTTTATCGTTTGTGACACGGTCTGAATTCAAGACATGGATGGCAGTTTCGTGTATAACAAATAGTCCAGCAAGGAACCTCTCTCAGAGGTTTTAGTTTAAATTGTTCGAGTGCTCTACAATGACACGACTACGTCCAAGAACTTTATTACCTCAGAAAATCAGCAGGAATATAACCTAGCCGGAACAGTACTTCGTTAGTCATATTTCTAATGAGTGTCTTCTGACTGTGGATTAACATACTTAGCTCTTCTGAACTGCTACTTTGACCTTGCGCTGTGGTGTTTACAGGTTGCAAGTGAGAAGAGGAGTGCTGCGGAGCAAGTATCTTTGGTTTTACAGGCTAAAATGCGCTCCTCAGCGGCGCCCAGTGAACAATAGAGAGCATAGTTAACTATGAACTTGCATAGTAGATCAGTTTTGCACCTCATTAAGTCCTGTTTTATTTCTTATCCTGTAACAATTCTTTTTGGAACATTTTTCTCCTTTCACCAGCGTCACACAGCTCTATTCATGAATGTGGGACTTTTTTCGCAGTTTAGACTTGGATTTCCACCCCTCAATGATCAAATAATGTATGTCGTGAATGAGAAGATAATAGATGTATTATTGTTCATATTTGTGCATCTCATCTCAGTGCAAAAAGTTCAATTAATTTAAATGCACGTTTCGTTCTGCATACGGGGATGAGGCACTGTTGGTTTTTCCTCAGATTGGATGAGTCACCTCAGTAATGACGAAGGAGTTGGTGCACTCTGATATGCATTTTTGGACCTTCTACCAGTAATGGTCTCTTTTCTAAATTTGAAGACTTGCTAGACTACCATGTTCATCGTGGTAACACATTTAGCTGCAACTTTTGGAGAGACTACCTAGAAGTTCTGATAAGCATGACAGCTACCTTTGCAGTTGATCAATGGTGATCCCAGAATTTTCCATCTAATTTTGTATGATTTTGCGATCTTAGAGCAATAAAGCTCCATCTCTCCATCCAGAGGTATTGAAGATAAAATATCTCTCTGCTGCTCCGCAAAAACTTCAAGGTCCTATCCATACTACTGGAATCATATCGTAAGTACAGTAAAATAGAGAAAGCGCCATGGAGACAAAGCTGCGTGGACCTCAGTGCTTTGACGTTGCGTGAATGTCAATGACCAAAGTGATGAGGGTGGACACTGCTTCATTTGTCTTTACTCTATTTACATGCCTTAGTTTTAATGGTATGTCAAACGAATACTGCACTTTTACCCACGATCACGTCAATGCCAGCAATGCTTATGAAAGGATATGATTCAGCTGGCTGGATACGTAATGGAAGAAGTGAGCAATAACCAAGACTGATGAACTCTGAGTCATACATACACAGCCTCCATTGCAGCTATTCCATCACTTTCTCCATTCATGCACAAGTATACAGATTACTGCATCTAGTCTCTTCAAACATGAAGAGGGAGTATGAACTTCATGCTCTACCACTTTCTATTTTTAATAATTATGATGCAAAACTGAATTGTCACAATCTATATCGTAAAATGTCATTTATCTTTTAAGAACTATTTGAAAGAAATCAAGGTTGCTGTTTTTTAAGTTGACACTAGTAATCTTTATTAATATTGTATCAACTACAAAGTCTTAACTACATAAAAAAATGCATGAAATTTTGTGCTCACAAAAAATAAAATCTACAGATATATTAACTGTGTGAATTTGTTATATTAACTGTGTGAAAACAATTATTATTGTCATGTTCTGTATCATAAAACTTATAGTTGATTTTTTATATGATAGATATTATTGATGCAAATAAAACCAAAACTAATAACAATAAAATTTATCAACTTAGAGCTAGCAGGTAAATGTAATCATTAGCAAATCTTGCATATAAATATAATTTGTGTGTAATCAAATGCAATGATGTTAACTAACGTGAATGATATTTCATGATCAAAATTTTTTTTTAATTATATTTGACCAAGAAAAATAATTTCTTGATTTTGATGCATAAGTGATTTAGAAAAAATTTCTAATTTGGTTTTTCTTTTGCAAAAAATTCATGAAAAAATAAATATTGTTACATTTATGGCAGTTTTTACAAACTTGTCATTATCTGAATCATAAGATTGATGACCATTGATTATAGAAGTAAAAAAATATTGCTATAAATTGATTCATTATTAAATAATCTAAAACTTTACTAAAAAGATAGGGGAATGTTCAAATCACCAACTCTAATGTTAAAACGATCACATACACAGTCACCAGTAAAAAACAAAGATTCTGCACATGTTCTTGGGAGTAGGGAGGGTGTCGAGAGCCTTGAGAATGAGCTTGTGAGAGAGCTAGTCACCCCTTTGTTGCAAAGCAATGGTTGGGTCCACAAAAGTATCACTTCTGATGATGTTTTTTGCACAAGAAGGAGGAGGGAAGCCAAAAAACACGCTTGCAGCTGATAAATGGGTTTGTGTTCGAAAAAGTTTTGTTTTGAAAGGTCATGTGATTGCAAGATGAGTCTCTAGTTTCAAGGTGGTCGTTTTAACAATTTGTGTGATTGCTTTAACGATCCCTTAAAGATAATGAATTTATAAATGATAAAATTCAAAATTTTTTTTCTAAAAAATAATGTCACTATGAATTTTATATGAATCAATATAAAATATATTTGCTGGTCAACTGCGGATTGAATATCTAAGTGTACTTCTAAGTTGATCAAGACATTGCAAAAAGGTGCCCAAATTTTTGTTCCTATGAACTTAACGGTAGAAAGCAAGTTGCAAACCAAAAAAAGAGAAGTAGTAAAAAAACTACAGTTTGCATGCATTGTATATTTTTTTTTCACTTTTTCACTTTCATATCATTCTGTAGTATGTTTGTTTTCATCATTAATTTTTTTTGGATGTAATAAACGGTCCTAATACATTTCATATTTTTTATTTATGAGATGCATGAGGTGTTGAATGTGTCATTCTACAAAGGTGTTCACTTGTTTTCTATGCTTCTTTGAGCTCATAAACATGTCTTCAACAAAATGGATTCAAAATACCCAAATGATACACAACAATGAATTGTGTTTGGCAGTATTCTAAGTTGGCTCGTAGAACATCATTATTGATTGATGATTCACGTAGCTGACAAACAACATATTCAAACGCCGTCCACACAATGATGTATCATCGCAGAAGATATATTGCTGTTTTTTGAACTGACTACCGTCACCATCTCCTTGATTCAATCTTTAAAGATGGTTATGTCTAAACAACGCCAAGAGCTGTCAAAGCTAATAATAAACATTGTCGTAGTTTGAAGATTTATTTTACTACGGATGATGCGTTGAACAAAATTTATTCCTTCACAATTGTTCAACTTTATGATTTGTTTGTCACAAAAGATTTTATTGTCATGCACATCCAACACCACAATCTGTGGACACTGAATCTGTACAACGACCTTTTCAAAACTAAACAACAACAAGCATAGAAGGAGATCAAAAATTTTTCACTTTCCATTGTGGCAAACAGATTGCAGATCAAGGCAGAGCATGATTTGAACAATAATGCTAGAGAATCAAAAGTCTTTTTTTGATGCTAACAGATTTAATCAAGATGCATTCTGACTTTTTTTTTAGCAAGATAGTGATGGATCATTACCTCGCGCACCTAGTCAAGCATTGGAGTACAAACATGATCTAATAAGATCAAGAGCGAATATCATGATGTGCTCGTTGTCTATGCACCTGAGCATCATATGAAAAAGACAAGCACAAATAGAAGACTTTTTAAATGAGGCATGAAATTTTTTGAATGGATGCTTCATGCATTTGCGTTAGTTGTGCAATGGACTGGCGACATTGAATCTAAATACGACATTGATTGAAAGCAACTTCTTTATTATCAAATGAAAGAAAATTTACTCTTGCATTAGCTTGACTTGTAAGACCAGATGTTGTATATGTGAAATAGATCTAGAAGTAGCCAATGAGTTAATCATGATTAGCTTAGTTATGACTAAATCCAACTATTTATGACTAAGTCTAGCTAGTTATAACTAAGTGTATCAAGTTATTACTATGTTCAGCTATAATATCTATACTTGGCAAAATAACTAGCGAACTTTTAGAAGATTTCAGTGAGCATTTCTATTTTGTCTTGTGGTAACGTAGTTTTTCATTTTTTCCTAGAGAGAGAGTTTGAGAAGTAGAAGACTAGAAATTTCAAACTTTTAGTATAAGAATACCACGAAGAAGAGTAAATAGTGAATTCTGGAGTAGAAGCCAAGTTAGAAGTAGGGAAATTTATTTAGATACCTCTATGTTGGAATTAGTGTTTTTACTTGTAGGTAGTAAAGTTGAATTGGATGAGCTATGACCTAGTAGAGTAGATAATTGATAACTTTTTCAATTAGTGAAATTTTTCCTTAAACATGATGTCAATAGACAATCATGTTTAAGGAAAACTCTGGTTTCAACGAAGAGTCTAAGGACTTCGGCGATAACACCTTCGACGTTATAGCAAAAGTAACTTTGGCGTAGTGAAAGGCGGCGCCAAACGGAAGGGAAATTCTTGAGTAGTCAATTCGAACGAGTTCACAATGCCGTGAGGGCGTCGAAGTACATTGGCAGAAACAGGAGTTCCACGCCGACATTTTGCGAGAGTGCATTTGCGAATTAGGAGCTCAGTGAGAATCACGAGTGAGAAATTGAGAGCGCATCGATGAAGCGATCTTCGACACTTTGAGTGTCAACCTTGAAGGTGTCGGAATTTGGTCGAGCGTATCGTTAAGAATTGCTAGCTACCAAACTCGATTTCTTGCTATGGGGTTGGAATTGAGTTTTCGTAGAAATCGTGAAGGAGTGGCACGAAGGACGAGCGCCGAACGTTGAAGTACTTCGCGGTAACCCGAAAAGCTGGACAATTGAGCATTGGGCACAAGTTTTGGGGTCGTGCGCAAGTGAAGACGGTGATTACATCTATGACAGCAACAACGTGAAGGTGATCCATACGAAAGAGAAGATCTTTGCGAAGCTTTTCAAGTCAACTTCTTCGCAACAAGAACGGATGGCGGACGACGTAGTACCGCGATCGGATGAGACGTAATGTGGCGGTGGCGTTAATGCAGATCCTGCGACCGTCAAGAACGACTTACATGACAACATGGCAGGTCAAATTTGTGGAGCGCGCGGTGTTAGGGAACCCGATTCATTGGGCTCGCATTCTCAAGAGTATTACGCGCAAGAACGTCAAAGAGATATTTAAAGGATCGATGAACTATATGTCTCCGTTCTTCATCAATTTTTATCGAGGTATGAGATTGCTGATTGCAGTAGAGTAGGAGAGATTCACGCTCAAGAGAGAAATTGTGGACGACGACGGAGTGCTTGGAGGCAATGAAGTGAGGAGTACAACGTTGAACCTGCAGCGCCTTCGACCGAAGCTTACAAGTTGGAGGACGACATCGAGTATCACTCAACAAAGAAGCAGAGAAAATTGCAGAGTATTACGACTTCGGAGATGGTGAGTTGACGTGCAAGATTGCGGGTCCGAAGACGTTTTCCTACGCGTCTTCG